CGCACTCGTCAGATATTTCGCACGTAGCGCCCGCAACGAACACCCGATTGGATGTGTGCATGAGGCAGAGCGAAATGACTGACATCGTTGTCATGGAGATAGTCATGCCTATTTTTAGCTCACTCCGGACTGAACTACCTTCACGTGGATAGATATTGCTCATATATGGAACAGCATTGATGTGGCTTATGCTACGTCGAAAGAGTGGAAGAGGGAGTGCAGGAGTAATGGCGACGGGGGGAGGGGAGCGGAGAGAAATTACAAAATAATCGTAGTGTATAAATAGTGATATTTTCAAATTAACCTTGACATTTATTGATGTCAGAGACATTAGTAACCGTAATATAACACTTATCTCAAATATACAATGCACGATAATTTACAATAAAATGGTATATGAACCGATAGCAAGTATATTTATAAACAAACCTACATAGCATACCTATAACTAAACTCACCTGACGCGGATTTTGGTTCAAAATCTTGGTAGTAAATTATTACAGGGGAAGTGCATTTAACATATATTCTAGAAGTGCGCGTATTTCCATGCGTGCGCGCAAACCATGGAATGAATGCCTTTGACACTTCCAGATATAATTGTCCATATATTGATGTAATCAAAATCCATTAACTTTTATTTAGTCTACATTATTTTTCAATTATGGTTAACCCCTTCCAATGACAAACACATGTTTATTATGGAAATATTCACATTTCCCATATCATTTAGTTACAATTACATCACAGAGAGGTAATCAAATAAATGAACTGATGGGCAGGTGGACAGCCAGAAGGACCTGCAGATAAGACTTTGTTCCATGGCAATACACGAACACAAACAAAAACATTGAAATATAGATATACACAATAGAGTTTTCTTTCCGAATAGATTCAACCATGATTTGAAATTTAACTTATGCTTGGCTAGTGTACGCCGTGAGCGGGTACCTATCTTACTTTTCGAATCAAATACATAGCTTTACATAGACGCATTACCGGATTAACAATAGTAGCAAAAGTAGCATTTGCTACTGGCCCAGCGGCTTTAAGGGCCCTGTGGTTTTAGGGCCCCCGTAATATCATGAACTATCTAATAGTTAAATTTTGATTAAAAAACATTTATTTTAGTACACGTAAACCTGATACAATAATGAGTGCTGGTATAGTTTATTTGTGAGTAAATCTATTACTATTAAATCTATTAACTATCTAACTTATTAGAAAAGGTATCAGATTTAGATGAACTTAAATTCACGTGTTTTAATTTTTATATATTTTTTAATTTATGGCCTAGCTTATGCCGGCCGTGCATAGACATCTATAAATTGTGACAAAAGGCGGCGCCACTTTCCAAAGCTAGGATTTATCACGTTATGATATTTTCATAAGCTTTCCCTCTAGCTGCTATTATATGTGTCAGACCCACCATAAGAATCCTATATGTAGTAACAAGTATGTCGTAATTGAATTATTTTTGCGTATTATCACATCATGTGCTGACATCCAAACGTATCTCACACTTTAATAATTTATGTAAAAAATATACAAGGTGAACATGACATCATGAGTTATGCCAGTGTTCACGACAGTATTAACAACAATTTCGTTATGTATAGTAATCCTGGTAAAACTGTGGTCAGCTCTTGTCCAAAACACAGAGGAAGACTCGAATTATAACTAAAAGCATTCCAATGAACATCTCTGAAAGTTGCCAAACATTTTTATACAAAGTCATTACACACAGGTGACAAGAAATGATTTTAACATTACTCTACAGTAACACCCAATATTGCGAAAACGCGAATTACCTAAATTCGCTCACATGATTTGTGAAATATGACCACTAAAATTGAGATACAGTAATTCACCCATATACGCAATTTGTAAGTAATAATACGCAAATCTGAAATGCAAATTCACTATGATAAATTTGTTAAAATTAGGGGATGATCGACCCTAAGTAAATAAATAAGTAGGTAAGTAATATGTAAGTAACATGTGAATGTACTACTGATTTATCTACTGTCCTCTAGAGGCTTCGCTTGTGAAAACGTCGTGGCTCGCTATATACAGATATATATAACAACAAACCATATTATAAACGGCGCGCGTTCATATAAGCTGACGCGTTGGCGCACAACACTTTAATCTTATTTTCAGAGCTGCTATGTAAGACAAACGTGAATTTAAACTCGTGTAAACTATGTAAGATTATTAATTGTTATCATTCGACCTGTCTTGTCGTCGATTCCGGCCGATCAG